GCTAAGCATTTTATGAAGAAAAATGGGTCAAGAATCACTTAAGAGGAAATCCCAAAAAGAAATAACTCCATAGCCACAAGCAGAGCTTCAGAGGAAAAGTCAACAAACAGATTCGGGAAAAAGGTCTTTAAGAACACTTAAAATCAATGAAGAAAAGGATAAAAATTGTTCAAGTCCTCTGGAGAATATTGGGAGAATAAATAGCTTAGAACAGAAAGTGGGATCCCTTACCCTGGATGTCAGAATAGCTCAGACAGAACTCAGCAACTTAAAGAGACAATAAGAAATGTTGGAACAAAATTCAAATATTAAAAAAATTGAAGAAAATGTCAGGTATCTCCTTTTAAAAACAATTGATAGGGAAAACAAGCCCAGAAGAGAGAATCTTTAATAAAAACTATGACCCTCCACACTCCCCAGAACAGCCACGTTTCAAGAAATAATAAAATTTCTCAGAGGACCAAGTGAAAATAAAATCCACTAATCACTTCCTGAAAGCAACCATGAATTAAAAATACCCAGGAATAGCATAGCCAAAATCCAGAGTTTACAGATCAAAGAAAAATACTCGAAACAGCTAGAAAGAAAAGGCTCATGTACTAAGGAACCACGATCAGTTTCACACAAGACCTGGCAACTGCCACCTCAAAAGAGACATAATCTGAGAATACAGTATTTCAAAAACAAAATCTGACAACTAGAATAAAGTATGCTGAAAGACATATAGGGAAATAAAAGAACTTTTAGTGGAATAGGGGGCTTTCAGGCGTTTTTTATGAAAAGACCACAGCTTATTAGATAGCTTGAAATGCAAACACATGAGTCAAGGGAATCCTGGAAAGGTGAATACAGTAGGGGAAGAGCTAAGTTTCCCTTCAGAATCTCATGACTTCAAGGGTTACAGAAGGAATTGAATGAGACAAAAGGACTGAGGGTGGATTTATTCTGTTTTGATGGTCTTGAGAGGAATCAAAAAGAAATATATTAGGAAAGAACTTCCTATTTATTTTCACTGGAGTACATGAGAAGAAGGGAGTGCAAAAATGGAGGCGAGGGATGAGGGCACCAGGCACCATCTGAATGCTTGCTCTCATCCGAACCACAAAGGATTGAAAGGACTCAGGTACACATGGCACATACACCTGTATGAACACACACAGCATTTGGTAGAGTAAGACTTTAAACTTAACAGGGAAACAGTCAGATTAGGGAAAGGGGATACAGTTTAAGATGAGGATAGAGTTAGGAAGAGAATATGGAGGATTAAAAGCAAAGGAGAAAGTGTAAGAACCAGGAATGTGGTGTGGGGGAAGGTAGAGAGGCGGTGCAGTGCCGTGGGAGCAGATCACTTCAATTACAGATTACCGGTGTTGATCACTTCCCTTCTCACCGCTTTCTTCTCTGGATGAAGGTGAGGAGTGGCCAAGAGAAGAAAAAAGAAAAAGGGATACGGATAAATGACAGTTGTCATGATGCCAATTAGGAATTTTTTAATATTTGCAACTGGGAGTATACTTTAAGCTTGAAACAATTTTATAGTAATTATTTTACTTGTCTTTTGAGTATTTCACTTAAATCTCCTATCCCTTAAAATGTGTATACTTAAACATGTCTTTTGCAAAGTTTGCTTCTCTGGTAACCTTTGGACAAATTTTTGAAACCACATCTCACAGTAATGGTAAGTATTTGTTGTTGGTTTTGCCATCATGAACTGGAGAAGAGCAGTCTCACTGCATGATGAGAGAGCTATCAGATCTTTCATGGAATGACGAGAGGGGTGTGTGTCTCCCTTCCACCTCCCACCTGTGTGTGTTTCATGCTTGTTCATCACCCAGCTCATGTCAAAGGAGCGTATGAAAGGACAAAAGGGTCGATAGAGCCCCTCCTACCTTCTTCACTCATTCCCCAGTATAGGATGGAAAATAAATCATATTTAATATCTCGATTTACGTACAAGGAGTCACATGGGATATGAATTTGGTCATTGCCTTTCATCAGAGGATTTCTGATCATCTCACAAGCACACTCAGTAATCCTCTAAACACCCCAGTGCAGTCGGTGGCTGGCAATATTATCATCTCCATTATAGTGGAGAGTAAATGGAAGCAGAGAGATACTCAGTGATATTTTTATCTTCCATTCAGAGATTTCACAGTACTTTACAGGCCAGTGTTATTATCAACTCTATGAAGCTTAGTGAGATTATGTGATTTGCCCAACCTTCAGGGAAGAATTTGGCATGGCATCAGGGCTCCCAAAGTTGTATCCACGTGACTGCATTTCTTCTTCTTGCCACCATCACCCCTGATAGCCATTCCGTGTTCAATCCCTGTTTTTAGAAATCCCATGACAGAGCCTTTAGTTTTTACCTGTTTAGAATACTGGTCAGGCTTCTACCCTAATTAGCCACGATTCACATTATTTTCCTAAACCTCTGTGTGGCATTCATACCCCCACGTTGTGTAGCTTTGGAAATATTCAGGAAGTAGGGAGGAGAGCTCAAGCCAAGACCACCATTAATTTTATTTGTTTGGAGATAACTAATTGAAGTTTTTCAGTACTGATCTCATTCAGCGATATGTAATTAAACCTCACCTAATTTTTGTGATCTGATGAATCAGGTTTCAAACAAAATAAGTCAGAATGTGACAGTAAGAGAATATTATTATTGAGAATATCAATTAATGCTTATTAAGCGCCTCCTACATACCAGGTGCTGCTTAAGGGCAAAACTGTTGCTGTTAAGGCCCTCGAGCATCATGAACTTTAAATCCTCCCTCCTTCAAAGAATTCCATAATCCCACCCCATTTACCTGTCTGACATCACTTCCCACTGCTTCCTAATAGGACTCTTTCATGTCTTTAAGACTGGGCCCTCCCTATCACATAACAAGCCTTCTGTCCCTGCGCCTGTCCTTTAGGCACGTCCTCCTAGAGCCCTTCCCTTTGACCAACCAGCTCAGTCCACCTGAAGACCTTTGGCCCTCATTTGGCCTTTTCTGCTTCCAGGGCCTTCTCTGACCCCCTGTAACAAACACTTTGTACAGTCTCACTCTTTGAGCTTGCAGGAGACTGCCGTGGACGTTGTGGGATCGAGCTCTGTGTTAGAGTTTACCCTGTGGCCTGTGACCTTGTTTTAACCTCTAGTATCTCCCCTCCCTAACCCTCCGACTTCAGTAAACGTGAGGGAAACTGAAACCCTTTTCTCCTTGTTCCTCTGGAGTGTGGCCCGCGCCCCTCGGCCTCGTCCTGTACATTCGGTGCCCTTGTTCCCATTTGCTGCAAGCTGGATGTCCCCCTGCCTTCCTCCATCTCCACCTGTTAAATTCTTCTCTTCCTTAAGGACCGGCCTCAGGTGTCGCCTTCCTCACAAACCCTTCCCAGACCCTTGTAGCTGTGTGGAATCTCCTCTTCCTCTCTCATAGACTCTGGGACTCTTCTTTGCAATCATCATATTCCACCTTTCCCTTGTTAGAGTGTTCATTCCTCGAGGCCAGTATCTGTACCCCATTTCCATTGACTGTCATCTTGGCCTAGAATTGTGTCTTGCGTATAGCAGGCATCAAGAACTCTGATTAATTGAACTTAATTGAAGGTGTTTTTAAGAGTTATGAACTTTTAGAACATGTACAATGTAGAGTAATATTTATTTTAAACCAAATGTAAATAGTTTCTTTTTATCATTTCCCATTTTGAGCTGTTCAAATGTGAAGCTGTCCATGTTTGATTGAGAGTATATTGTCATTTGATTTTAAATAGATTTCTGAAAGATCTTTTTTTTTAAGGTTTATTTTAAATGACTTTAGATACTTCTTAGAAATAATTTTGTGGACTATTGATAATGGCAGTCATCTTGTATGTAGTTTGATATATCTTCAATTTTGTATCTCTGTTGATTATTAAGGAATATGTTTTGGTCCAAACCCTCCTGGTCTTGGATCCCTCTCTGGTGGTTGCCAACAAATGCTAGATAAGACCATCACCAAACAAAGATGCATTTTTCAGTGTTTTTCTTTTTTGGTTTGAAATGGAGATTTTTCTAAAACTCCACTCTCTGAACTATCACCATGTTCCTGACCTGTTTTCTGCTTTAATTTTTATGTAATTAGTTTAGTTTCTATTTTGCAAGGACCAAGAAGGTGCTTCTAAAGCTGCATTTGTCACTGAGAAAACTAGACCAAATTTATGTTGACCTTTTTCTCCTTGGAGTATTTAGTCTGCATTCAATAAAATTTTGATGACTGCTCTTTAGAAGACAGCTGCACGAAATAAAGTCTTATAAATATTCCGCTTTTCCTTTCTGAGTATTTTCATGAACAGCTGGGCATCCAGTTCATCAGAACAGATTTTGTACATGGAAAGCTGGGTATGTGCCTGATTCAGTTTAGTAAAGAAGACAAAAAAAATAGTTTCTTATGGGTTGGGGACTTGTAAAGACATGGAGCATCTGTTCCCCAGTTAAGCCATACTCTGGTAGCACTGAATCATGTTAAGAGCTCAGAGGATGGGATGAACAACTTTGTTTCACCTTGAGTCTCCCCTATTAATGACAAGTTACTTTCAATACCCACACGAACGGTATGTAAGTGATTGGACTCTTGTAAAGAGTTGGGTTTGTTGGGGATAATTTTCTGGGAAGGCAACAAGGAGAGGGATGTTTTGAAGCTGGGTGCATTCAATAATGTAATCTTAATACTTGTGTGATTAGGATGGCATGCCGCGAATCTATAAATGTGTTTTGAAAATAGAAATATTTATAGACATAATATCATTTCTGAAGGTGTACTATCTTGCATAGTATTAAAACACAAAACAAGGTACAATAAACTGCCTCTTGAGAGTTGCTTTTCCTAGTATATGCCATTTTCCAGTTTTGTAAAATAGATGAAATTGAGTTGCAAAATTGACTCTTAAAAACTTTGCTTGTGCATAGTGCCTATGAAAATGTGGTTACTTGAGGCTTGTAAAATTTGAGATCTCTTTAAATATTTTGTTTACAGTGTGAAAAGATCTCTGGAGTTGGATGTCTTATTACAGGAAAATGTAAGTATCTAATTCTATGTTCTGATTATATGCAGGAAAATTATGTGGATTATTAGACCTTTTAAAATTCCATTTATTTATTTAAAAGCTTTATCACTAAGCAAGGGAAATAATTTACTAAAATGAGCTGTTATTTTTGATAAGTCCTTATCTCATGTTGGTTGTTACTTTTTATAATGTTAATTTTTTACAAATAAAGAATTAATGATCAGTCTTCTTAATATTTACTGGTTAGGAGGCAAACGTGAATGACAAACTTTTATGAAACAGTGTGTTAGAAATTAGTGTCTTAATTGTAGGAGCAAATGTTCTGACGCAAAAAAGCATAAATAACTCTGGAATTATGAGAACTTTCACGTACACGTTGTGTAGATTATTGTACAAAAACAGAACAGAAACATGAACATTAACAGCTTTAGGTCAGAGTTATATTTACCTCTGTCAGCTGAACTGGTTTGATTGAACAAAACAGTAGCAGCACTCTAATAAATTTCACTCCCATTGTCACAATACACTAGAATTGTGAGGTTGCAATCCCTTTTTGTAAACCGGGTCAGTACATTCTTGGTGCTAGCGTGTCAGGACGTATGTCAGTTTATGATGTTCTCATACCGACAGTGGGTGTTGCTTCAAACCCTGATACTGGGACATTCATAGAGATAGTAAGATGAGAGGGAAGTCAGTTCATGTGAAAGTAAATTAAAACAAAAGTCTGGTCAGTAAACGAGCTTCCCCTCTTTCCCATATGGCAATGTCATTTTAGAGAAATATGTTTATGTATAATTCCTCTTTGGATGTCTCTGTGGTATTTAGCAAAACAGAAACTTGAAATTTTTAAAATCTCCGAGATACTTTTCTTTTATTTAAACAAAGGTGGCAAAATACTGCAATGGCACTAAAAAAATCATTAGCAGTTTAATTAGCAGTTTAGTGGACCATTATCCAACTTGTTGGGTTCAGCATGCAGCTGTGACTGTAATTCTGCATCTGTTTCTTGAGTCAGAGTAGGATTTGGGAGATGAGGAGTCCAGCCAGAAATTCAGTGCAGTTCTTTTCTGCCCCAAGGCTGTTCTTTGGGAGATAGGAACAAAATGATTTGAACTGAAGAGAACTGCTTTTTAGAGTTCATTCTTTCTGTGCGGTATAGTGGTCACAGGGGTGAACTTGCTGGCCAGAATGCCCGTTGCCACGACCAATGTGCTTTGTTGGAAAAATAGATGTGACCCTTCAGTTCAATCGTTGGAATAGCTGGGGACTCTCTCTTTGTAAAATATTTGGTCTGGGTTTTTTTAGGTAGTGACTTCATTGATTAAACATTTCTTAATGCTTAAAGTGGAAATCATCTCACCTGTTCCTAGGAACAGCAGAAGTATGGAGGGAAAACAACTCAGGCAGAATAAGAGTCTTGCAAATGACAGTTCTAAAAAGCAGCCTTGAGGATTTCATGATAATGAGGGAAAGGTGATGAGGAAAGAAGCAGGAAATCTTCACCGAAGGTGGGGAAGGACAGTTAGTTTGCAAGTACAAATGAATCAAGCAGGAGATGGAATCATCTTGTTTACTTTGTTCTGCCTAAAGCAGAAAGGCCCCAGTATCCAGTGAGGCCTTTTGTGAAATAGTAACAATGGTAACAATAATAACGACAATGACAGCCAGCGTTTATGTAGTACTGCTACGTGCCAGGCGCTGTACCAAGTGCTTTACAATTATTATCTCAGTTGACCCTCACAACAACCCTGGGGAACAGATGCTTTTACTATCCCCAGTTTACAGATGAGGAAACTGAGACAGAGGTGAAGTGACTTGCCCAGGGTCACCCTGGCTGAGTGTCTGAGGCTGGATTTGAACTCAGGTCTTCCTCTGGACTCTAGGTCCAGCACTCTGTTCCCTGTGGCACCACCCAGTGACCTCAGAAAACAATAACACATAGCACCTACCTCCTGGGGTTTTTGTGAGTATCAAATGTCATAATAATTGTCGAGTGCTGTGCAAGTCTAAATGAGCAACACAAGTGTTCGTTGTTATATCAGGAGGTAGTTGTAGCCAGCTGCTTGCGGAGGCCGGAAGGAAATTCCTGTGAGACTGAATGGGTCCGAGCAAGGGAGGTGAAAAGCCTCCTTCTGTTTATCGGGGTGTGTGTGTGTGTGTGAGTGTGTGTATGTGTGGTGTGTGTGTGTGTGCGCGTGTGCGCAGGCTGTCTGCACAGGCGTTTCTCTGTCTGCGTGGGTCCCTGTGGGGAGCCCCCATGGGGAGACCGCCAGGGCTGGCTGGGACGAGCCCCATGCGGGAGAGAGGTGCAGCCAGCCCGTCACCTCCACCTTGGCACAGACCAGGCCACGTGCAGTGTAGTGTTGACGGGATGAATTTTCAGATCCTTATTAATGCCATAATTCTGTTACTATCCATAATGAGATGTTTCTGGACACCCACTCCCTGAATTTCCCTAATTGAGTTTATCATGATTTCAGTTACCCACCGCTCTCTGGCTTGGGTTGTTCCCTCTGCTATCACCATGTTCCCAAGAACTGAATCCAAATTTCACAAAACAAAGTTTTTGGATTTTAGATTTTTGGATTCAGTCAAAGGGCCGCACGCACTTGAGGATCTAGAGGGCCACACGTGGCCTCATGCCTGCAGGTTCCCCACCCCTGCTTAGATGATTCTTCCTGTTTGCTTATTTGGGGACCAGTGTTACATTGTTATTAGTGATATCATTACCCTCCCATCCCATGTTTTTTGGTTATTCTTGATTGTCCAAACACCCATGGTATCTGGGTTTTAAATATCCTAATGACAGTAGAGTCTGGTGGTTCATAATAATAATAATACATTTATGTACTACATTTCATCTTTTGGAACACCTAATCCTTAGAGATTATTTTAATAGGCGATGTTCAGTAAAGTATTTTTGTAGAAGATGCTTTAAATAGTACAAGATCATATCACAGTTTGTGATAGGTATTGAAGCAAAAAGTCACGTCTATTTGAAATTATAGGAAGAGTGGAATTTTCAGGCAGGAAATCAATGGTTAAATTTCAGTTTGGCTAACACACTAGGCTTAACCTGCTTCTCAAAAGTATAGAGGGATCTGGCTAGCCCCGAGCAGTCAGAACCTCAGAGCCCCCAAAACATGAGACCGTTCTGTTTATTAATGAGTGTCTGCCAGGAGTGAGGCATCCAGATCATTTCCTTCCTCCACCCATACCTCGTGTCACTTCTTTCCACTGCTGCTCCTGCAAGGGAGGGACAGGGCTGTCTGTGTTCTCCCTGAGTGTGGAGGCTGTCCCCTAATCCTCCTGTGGCAGCCCCCGAGTGTTATGCTCTGTCCCTAGCACACACGCCTAGTGACACAGCCCAGGCCCCAGGGAGACCGCTTTGAGCTGGAGGGTCTGTAAGTAGCACATCTTTAGTTGAGCGCTAGCTACAGTTTAGAGTGCTTGATAGGCATCTTCAGGGCTAAAAAGTGGTTGGGCAAAAGCATTTATTAAATGCCTACTATGTGCCAGTCACTGTGGTGAGCACTTTTACAATTATTATCTCATTTCATCTTCAAAACAGCCTGGCGAAGTAGCTGCTATTATGATCCCCATTTTGTAATTGAGGAAACTAAGGCAAATGGAGATTAAATGACTTGTCCAGAGTCGAACTGCTAGTAAGTGTCTGAGGCTGGATTTAAACTCAGGTCTTTCTGACTTCGGGCCTGGCGCTCTACCCACAGCCCCACCAGCTGCATAGGTTAATAGCTACTAGGAGTTACTGAACCTGAAGGTAAAAGGACTTAGCACAGATAAGAAAGCTTACTTCTTTATGTATACATGTCATTATGAAGATCTAAAACATTAAATTCTTGTTAAGAGAATTCTTAGTGGAACAGAAGGAAAAGCTGGTTTTCATTTCTAACCTTTAGTAGTTATACAATGATGGTTTATTTTCAAACTCAAACGGAACAAAGATTCAGGTTAGTTTTTTGTTTAAGGGGCCAAAAAAATAAATATAAAAAAGATATTTTCTGAAAAGTAGATATTTGTTTTCAAGGAGAAATGTGTGATATACAGTGGAAGTGTTTAGACGCTTGGCAATTGGATAAAGTGATTTTTTGGTGCAAATAGGAAAACATCAACACAAACGTACATTAGGGTAGTGACTTTCATTTCTTGTACATACACTGTGAAATAGTTCTGGGCAATAAATTCCTGGACAAGTAAGGTAGGGATTGGGCAAATGTCAGAGGTTATGACTGAATACGTATGAACACAGGCACTCAAGATGCAGAGATAGTGACAGCCGCATGATAAGGGTACTCAGAACCTGCTCACCCCACCAGACAGAGTCTTTTCAGATATGGGCTGAGGTCAAGGTTACTTACTGTTGGCAGATGTGATAAGGGAACCCAGCGATCAGATCTCAGCGCAGAATTCTCTATGTTCTCCAGTATTTTTACATTTTAAAATCATGACTGTGAGAAGGACTTTACTGCAGTGCATTTGGTGCTATGTAGAGTCTGGCATTGATACGAAGATTAGTGGAAAAGTGATCTGGTTTTTGAATTTTCTGAGATGTCAGAGTGATTCAGCGCTAAGGGATCCTGACTGGCACGCCCCTCTTCCTGGGGGTTTGCCGTCTCTTCCCTCTTTCACCAGAATCCCACCAGGTCGATTTCTTTTCTTCTCAGCCACGTTGGGTTACTTTCACGTTCCTTTAGTGAAGATGATGATGAGAACCTTCGCTGGCCTGCACATGCGTGCTCTGTAGATCCTCATGACAGCCTGGCTGGCGGCGCCTTTTGGACATCGGCCTCCAGCCCGTGCCGCGCCCAGTTTTCAGGCAGTTGCTTGGCCAGTGCATCACTGGGCTTTCCCTAGGTTTGTCATGGAGCGCTTCTGCCCCTGCCCAGTCCCCCTGGACACCTCTCACTGCTGGGTCCATATCCATTTAGTCGCTCCGTTGCATTTCATTCTTCTTTCTTAAGGTCCCTGAGAGGAAGAATGGTTTCATTGTT